TTATTAAAAATGCTAAATATAATAAAAGTTATTAACTAACATTAAAATAACTATATTATAGAATATTTGGATCGTAAAAACGTATTTTGGCATAGTATTGCAGATAAAATCAATCAAAAGCATAATACTAATTTTACTGATTATCATTGTAAAGAAAAATTTTCAAATCTTGTTCAGAGTTATAATGTAAGTTCTCACGATAAAGCATTATTTTTTATCTAGCTCGCTATTAATAAAATTTAGGATCTCTAGGCAATGTGTAAATATATGGCAGGTAGTCGTAGAGCACGAAGAAATCGATTGGATGTGCAATACTTTGATGAATTTTGTACGCATTTTTGGGAGAGGCCTGAAGTTGAATTTGATAGAATTCATACTATCAATACCTCAAACCGTAAACGAAGTAGAAATATGGGAAATATAACACCAGCACCATCTATTGACGAAGTGTCATCAATGCTAAATCGGAGTCGCCGTGAATCTCCTACTGGTCAAAGAGATCGGTCTGCATCTCCAATCCTAAGAACTCCCAGCAGAAGAGACAAAATTATCAATCGAAATAATGCAAGTAATGTAAATAATACGAGTAAAAATTTAAATAATAATACAAATAATGTGGGTAGAAATTTAGGTAATACTACATACTCATCTTCATCTGAGTTAGCAAATATGACCGCAAATCTTAATATATCCACATCACAGAATAACAGTGATCGTGGTATGCCTGATATTGAAGATAGTCAGCCACCTCAAGTGGAACTTATAAATGAAGAGGGAAGTTAGATTTCGTCACACTATACAGAATTTTATTTGAACAAGTAATAAAATTTTAGCATCAATTATGAAATAATGACACTTTGTGTCTGTGCTCGCTCCGCTAAAAATTCTCAAATTATGCATGACACCTACTTGCCAAGAAAAAAATAAATCACATGACTGCGAGACAAATTGATTGTGTAACACAAATATTCATAGTGATGTTTGATTAATATCTCACAGAATAAATTAAAAGATCGTGAAACTTTTCATGCATAATGTCATCGTATGACCTGTTACTCTGACAAAATAAAATCGCATGCGCCACCCGGAAAAATTTCTGTTGAAAAGTAATGTGATACTCGACTACTCCAGCGTGACCTACAAAGATGCACCAATCAGAATAGATTAATTTATTAACCAATCAATCATCACCCCATTCAATGTTCCGATTGTTATGTGGATCGGCTAGTCGATTTAGGATATGTAAAAGACTATTTGTTTCACTTTAGTTTTTCTTCTCTTGCTACTTGAAATATGTGGTAAACCTTGATTCCTTTTGCGTGGTGATTATCTATCTATAAGATGTTTGATAGTTTCTGATATTGTTACTACTGACATTTGCCTTCTCCATTGGCCAGTTTATTAACATTTCACATGCCTACTAATCATTTTAGTGAGCGCAGTTCTTGCCAACTAGTTTTAATCAAATCAGTCACTCTTTACCATTTTACTTACTCTCGTTGCCATTCTTCTATCCGGTGGGCTTGCTATATTTAGTTGTTGATGACTATTCCCAGTTCTCTGATCATTTTCCTTTTGGTGTTGCGTTGCCAGTAGGTTACCAAATTTCTCTGAGTTATACAAGCTGCCGCTAGTGTTAACTGGGCTTTATAATATTACCAGTAAGTATCTTGATGTTCTCTTTTCTGCTTCTTTGTGCGGTTTTGTTGCTTCAATTCCGGAATGGGATAATTTTTAGCTTAACTATTGAATTTGACTTACTGATGTGATCTCGTTACTATTACCATTATCTAGTTGTCACAAATTCAACTTTGGATTTTGTCGGTTATGATTTGGTTGCATTTTGTTCTTGCTGGTCGGTTAATTGTGGTTATTGTTGATTCTTTGCTTCGATTGGTGGTGTCGTATGGGATGATTTTTAACTGGAATCGCTAGTGTTCCGTGAAAACTTCCGTTTCTGCCCTGTAAAAAAAAATAAAAAACAAAACTCAGGAAAAAATCCAGTTTTTTAGTTCCGGAAAATCACGGGTTTTGTTAACAAATTTCCGGATTAAAATCTGATAAAAAACTGCTTAAAAATGAAAAAAACGGGAAAAATAAAAAAAATATCCGGAAACTTTGGGACGCGATATCTCGCGAACCACGAAACCAATCTGGACGAAAATATCACCATTCGATTCGTCAAGACTAGACGAATTGAATGGTGGTATTTTCGTCCAGATTGGTTCCGTGGTTCGCGAGATATCGCGTCCCAAAGTTACTGGATATTTTTTTTATTTTCCTTGTTTTTTTCATTTTTAAGCAGATTTTTATTAGATTTTAATCCAGAAATTTGTTAACAAACCCGTGATTTTCCGGAACTAAAAAACCAGATTTTTTCCTGATTTTTGTCTTTTATTTTTTTTTACAGGGTGATGCTACTAATATGAGTGCTAATTGAGCTTGTATATCTGGTTATTGTTGTGATGATTGTTGCTATTGTTATTGTTATTGTTATTGCTATTGCTATTGTTGTTGTTACTATTGTTACTATTGTTACTGTTGCTATTGTTGTTGCTATTATTGCTGTTGTTGTTATTACTGTTGCTGTTGCTGTTGTTAAAGTTGCTATTGCTATTATTGAAGTTACTGTTATTATTAAATTTGTTGCTAATTTATTGTGTTTGCTAAATTTTCTAATTCATCTTCTGATGATGAATTATTTTGGACAAGTATTACCTCATCTTCATTGTTATTGTTAAAATTTGAATTAAGTAATGAATGCGCTAAAGTGGATGAAAAAATAGATTTGATAATGCTAAAAGTTATTCTTCTTGATTGATAATGATATTTTGTTTGGCTTTTGTTAGCCAATCAGAAAAATAATTTCTTACTTTTAGTGTGAAAGGTTATCGAACTGTTAATTGATGGTATTAGTGGATGAGTTATTGTTTTAGATGATGATAGTACAGATGAGTTTTTACTTGTGTGCTGTTATTTGTTGTGGGTATTCACATATTTTTTGTACAAATGCAGCAGCGTCAGTTGATAAATTTTCCAAATAGTGGAATACTTGATTTTTCAGTGATTTTGTGCATGTAAGTAACCAGTTATAAAATTATTCTTTGGTAGATTTATTATTTTGATTATTTGTAGTTTTGATATATAAAGTTCTAATAAGTTGATATAGTTTATTTTCTTTTTTTAAAGATACTTCTTTTGATATTAATGTACTTTTAAGAAAATTGTACTGATGGATGACTTCAGCTTGAATAATTTGTTTATTCAATTTGATTATGATATAGATTTCTTTTCAAAAAGCCATCCACAGAGAGAGCACCAAAAATTTCTAGTTCTTACATATGATAATATTTAGAAATGTTTAACAGTAACTGTATTCACAGCAGATTTTAAATAAGAAAGATATAAATGATGAAAGTGGATGATTAACAATAATGAACTGACAAGAATATGAGTATAAGATGAATATTTAAGTGTATTTGAATAATAATGAAACAATACTAAAACTAGATACATGCTATAAATCAAAGTTAGAAAGTGTATTAATAAGATAAAAGGCAATATAATGACAAATGAAAACAACAAAAGTAAAACAAAAATAAAACAAAGAAAAACAAAAGAAAAACAAAAGAAAAACAAGACACAAACAAATAAAAATAAAGCGAACAAAAGAAATAAACAAGAAAAGTGAAAAAGACAAAACAAAAGTTAAAATCTGGATATAATTTTCTTAGTTTATTTCAAGTTAATTCTCATATATAGCAAATTTGAGTTACATTAATCTACATGTTATTTATATATATAGATTACAAAGTAAAATTAATAAAAGTAAAGATCTATAACATGTTGAAACATAATAACTATTGTGTAATATTAGAAAGAGATTTGTGTAAAATCTATATATCACTAATTAAATTAATGTAACAAGAGATTAAAATAAAGTACCAATAAGATTTAAAATATAATAATGTGATAATAATATGAATTGATTGATAAATTAAATGATGATAAAATCTAAACTAAAATGATGTGATAATAATATAAAATAATTGGATAAAAATATAAATTATTACTATTGGATAAAAATATAAGAAATATAAAAAAGTAAAAATAAAAGAAAAAGTTTAAATAAATATTACTGCACTAAAAATTAACATGATAAAGTTGATGAAAGGTAAAATGATAATAATATCATGCAATATGAGATTTTTTTTAATATCTCGAGCTTAAAATCTATAATGATACTAAAGTTACTCATTTTGACAAAATCAATGATAAGTCAAATATATTATATCATAAAAAATAATTATGCCAATTTGTCAATTATGTCCTAATAGAGTATCTCATAAATCAGATTCTGAGTGGAAATCAGAACTAAAGCAGGTAAACCAAACTTTAAGAGATGAGTTATCTAATGAAGTTTCAATTAATAAATTGAATGAAAAATACATAAATGAGCTGGAGCGTAAATATATCAGATATGAAAAAAAATCCAATCTCTTAATAAAGAACTGGAACAGCTCAAGAATACTTTGAAAGAAGAAAAAGCAAAGTTGAGATCAGAGATATTATTTCTTAAAAAAAGCTTATATTGTTACCGTTTTGATAGGACTTTCAAAATACTCAAAGGTATTTATAAAATTTAAGGAATATTCAAAGGGAAACTTCCAATGTCTTAACGACAATTC